GGCGGGGGCGGGGGTCGGGTAGCCCCGCGGCGGGGGTCCGCGGGTAAAACCCCTACCCCGGCTTGGGCCCCGGTGACAACCATTGGCACGCCCATCCAGGGCTTAACCACATGCAGAAGCATGCTGAGATCCGTACTTGTGAAACTTTATAAATGATATCCCAAATGCGGAAGCGTGTTGAGACCCATACATGTTAGGCACGCCGCCCGAGAATCCTGTGCGGAAGTGTGTTGGGATCCTTACTTGTTGAACTTCAAAAACGTGCTGGAAATCCTGTGCGGAAGTGTGTTAGGATCCGTACTTGTTAAACTTCATAAACGAATAACGATAGGCACGCCCATCAGGGGACACTGTGCGAAAGTGTGTTGGGATCCTGACTTGTTAAACATCAAGTTTATAAATGTGATGAAAGACATTATATTGTGTCCTCCTTCTAACGAATTCATATTTGGCTGCAGCGTTTCCACGTAGGCACGTTCATCCACTCGCGCTAAATGCGGAAGTGTGCTGAGATCCATACTTGTTTAACCTTATAAAGCAAATGAGCAATGTACTCAGATTGAATTGGACAGTATAATTATTTCGGCTATCCCAAAGTTATACAGACAGGTCCATCGTCTCGCCTGAGACAGTTGTTTGGATGTTCGATGAGATTCGGACTTGTTTAGAAGACTTAGTGTAATGACAGGCACGCCCGTTTGGGAACCCTGACAGTGTGCGGAAGTGTGCTGAGATCCATACTTGTTAAACTTCAAGTTAAAAAAAATGTGATGAGCAAGGTGTCATGATTGAACCGTTGTTGGATGACACATTAAATTTTCGTTACTATGTTATCCCTAAGTTGTGCAAGCATACCCATCGTCTCACCCGAGACGGTTATTTGGATGTTGAAGAGATCCGGACTTCCGCATATAGGCACGCTCATCATCTCGCCCGACATGAGGGAACTGAGATCCATACTTGTTTACAGTTGTGATGAGCAATGTGTATTGTAACGACCACTTAATTTTCACATTCTGTGTACAAGTCTGGAACTTCAAATTATGCTTATTCACGATCGAAATCCGCACTTTAAATGGTCATGCAAAGAAGGTTTGGACACGGACGCAAGGTTGTTGGTTACATGCAATGCACGTGTCACAAGGTATGTGATCATATGCACACGCAATAGACATAACGCCTCTGGTCCTCACAGTTGTTAATTCATCCACTGACCAATTTGTCATGCATCCACTCGCAGAGATTTGTCGCACAGTCGATGAGATTTGTGATGCATCCACCGACCAATTTGTCAATCATATGTACACTTCGAGTTGAACAAAATTTGAAACATGGACGCAATGTATGACATGTTCCGCTGCATGAGAGACGACTGGGATGTGACATAGATTACCAAGTGTATACATGACGTCGGATATGCAATGAGTCTGCCGAAGACAACTCAGACTAGCAACGATAAAAGAATGTAATGTCGTTGTCAAAACGACAGTTGA